CATATGAAAAAAACCCATTTCAGTGCCTGGTACACTAAAGACCAATAATAAATGTTTTACTTCATTGCTAGACTGCTTTAAAGTGAGTTATAGTTGTAGTTACATTAAAAAATTAAAATATGCAGAAACCAATGCAAAATGAAAGCACTCTAATTATTTTGTCTTACCTTCATGATTTTTCTCCAGTGCACAACTTAATTTGTATTTTAAGCTTTGAAATGCATTTATCCTTAATCTTCTCTATGATATAAATTTAACATTGACTGTTCTTTCATTTATCTAATTAACAGTGCCTTTATGTCAACTGTAGACCATATTTAATGATTCAACAGAAATTTATTAAGAGCCCATTATCAGTGCAAAATCATATTTATCTTTATCATTCAGAGATTAGTTTATGCAGATATTGCTGGATAGTTTATAGCTTAATAAATGCTCCAAGATGCTTAATAAATATTATTTTTGTTTTAATAATGTAGATAACTGATGGTTTTCTTCTAATATCAGCAATCAAATTAGAATGAAAAGAAACAATTCATTTCCATACTGAAAGGCTGATATCTTTTGCAGCAACTATATTCTTCTGCTTTACAATTTTTCAAGGGAAACATTTATAATTAGAAATCGGATTAACTGTGCTAAATGCCAACTTCAAAACTTAGTAATCAATCTATATATTTTAGGTCTATATCAGATGGTTGTGAGTATCCAGCTTACTCAGTATATTGAAAATAACTGATCCAACAAAGATAATTAAAATTAAGCTCTTCAGACTGTCAACCAAATGTAATAGTGCCATAAGCGGTCTAGAATTATATCCATAGGTTGAACAAGGAGAATATTAATTTCAGGCTTGTTTAGTTATTTCTTCCTTACATGTGGCCATTCTCAATTGACCTTTATGTAATCTACTAGAGGCCCGGTGCACAAAAATTTGTGCACTCGGGGGGGGGAGGGAGGGGTCCCTCAGCCCAGCCTATGCCCTCTTGCAGTGTGGGACCCCTTGGAGGATGTCCACCCCAGTGGGGACCCTCACCCCATGGAGGTTTGGCCAGCCTGGGTGAGGGGCTGATGGCTGTTTTCAGGCTGGCCACACCCCCTTTAGGGTGAGGGGTCCCCATGGGGGTGCCTGGCCAGTCTGGGTGAGGGACTGAGGGCCGTTTTCAGGCTGGCCAAGCACCCTGGCGACGTAAGCTCCCAGCCTCTCCTTTTTATCTTTTTTTTTATTCTGGGATTTATTTACCTTCTATAATTGAAACTTTCTTGCTTTCAGTGGAACTCAGAGCCAGCTCCTGCTTGCTCCAGCTCCGTGGCCACGGCTGGCTGAAAGCAGGTATCTGGGGTTTATTTACCTTCTATAATTGAAACTTCGTTGTTTTCAGTGGAGCTCAGAGCCAGGCCGTGGCAGGCAGGGAACCTTGGTTTCCTCCATCACTGGAGCAAGCAAGCCTCCTGCTCGCTCCAGCTCTGTGGCTGCCGGCTGCCATTTTGGTTGGGTTAATTTGCATATAGTCGCTCTGATTGGCTGGTGGGCATGGCTTAAGGCATAGCAAAAGTACAGTCAATTTGCATGTTTGTCTTTTATTAGTATAGGATATTAGCTTGGAAGTCACATAGCTCATTTGCTTAAAGACAGAATGTTGTGGAAGAATAGTCTTTAATTAAGTTTACCACTTCCTTTATCAATGGTTCTCAACCTGTGGGTCGCGACCCCTTTGGCAGTCGAATGACCCTTTCACAGGGGTCGCCTAAGACTATCCTGTATATCAGATATTTACATTACGATTCATAACAGTAGCAGCATTACAGTTATGAAGTAGCAACGAAAATAATTTTATGGTTGGGTCACAACATGAGGAACTGTATTTATAAGGCCAGAAGGTTGAGAACCCCTGCAATAGGCTATCAGCAGATTTCTCAGCAAAAACTCTATTGTCCAAGAAAGAGTGAATTGACATATTCAAAACACTAAAAGATAAAAATTTCCAGCCAGGAATATTCTATCCAGCAAAGTTATCGTTCATCTATGAAGGAGATATAAAAGCTTTCTCAAACAAAAGTGGAAAGAAGTTCACTACCAGTAGACCTGCCTTATAAGAAATGTTGAAAGGAGCTCTTCTACCTACAATGAAAAGGCAAAAGTCCTACCTCCATGATGGATACCTGTCCAGCCTGCTCTGTGCCAAAGCTCCTGAGCTCCCTTTGATAACATGCTCATACCCAGTTCCTCTCATGATATCTGCTGAAATCCGTTCGCTGATTATTTTCCAACCCTCTCCTTTTCTGTTATGTGCATATTTTCTTTTCTTTACTTTGTAATTGTAGTTTTAATAGGAAAAGATAGAAATATATCTGTCTGTAATCTTGAACAGAACCTGACAATTTGCTTTAACAGCATTATAAACATTTCCCCATGTGATTAAATGTCTACACTAAAACTATAATTTTAGTTTTGAAGCTAAACTTATATTCTTTACTTACTCCTATTTTGTTAACATTCTTCAATATTTTACTAACTAAACCATACCGCTTGGTTTTTAATTTTTCCCCCCTTCCGCTGCCCTGATTGGCTATGGATGAACTTCAGAAATTAACTATTAAATTTGAACGGCACATTATCGAAGCAAATGAACAGGATTCTTGTCCACTATGTTAAAACCACTGGTCTCTTCCATGCCCCGGCCCAACACACGGAAGCGAATGGACTTTCTAGATGAATACAGGAATACAGATATTTAAATATTTTGAACACGCCATGTAACTAAGTAGTGGTCGTTATTCCTAAAAGCTGTGCATTTTTCAGAAGCCTACAGGTGAGTCCGTGCTTGGATGAGCTGACAGTTGGGCTGATGAATTAAAAGGCGATGCAAAAATACCGCCAACAGCACACACACCTGTAACAACATTTAAGCCCCCAGTGGCCAAAACACTAGGTGAGGGCACTGCTGCCAGTTGGCAGCTAATGAGGGAAACCTGCCTGTAATTACCATTTTCTTGTTTATTCCTTCAAACCAGTGGTTCTCAACCTTCCTAATGTCACGACCCTTTAATACAGTTCCTCATGTTGTGGTGACCCCCAACCATAAAATTATTTTTGTTGCTACTTCATAACTGTAATTTTGCTACTGTTATGAACCGTAATATAAATATCTGATATGCAGGATGTATTTTCATTGTTCGCGACCCACAGGTTGAGAACCGCTGCTTTAAACCGAAACAGCCCTTGAGCTTGAGGGGCTCCACTGGCTGCGACCCCCCAATATAACTTCAATGAGCCCTCACTCCACAGCTCAAGCATGTCATCCAGGAAAAAACAAAGGTGGTAGCAATTCCAGGGCAGCTAGTACAATCCCAAATCCCAAAGCTTTGTCCTAAATTCAACCAATTTCATCTTTTGAAAGACAGCAGTGTGCGGAGTAACTATGGGACGCTCAGCGCCGAGTCTGCTTCAAATGATCGCCCAAGGGTTCGAGTCAGCGCCCAGGAAGCAGAGGGGTGAACGGCTCCCCGCGCGCCCCCCGACTCCCCGTCCGCCACCCGCACTCTCCACGCGCGCGTGGTTCCAGGTTTCCCAGCCTTCGCGAGGCGACAGCGCGGTCAGCTCGTGAGGGCGCTGCCAAGCGGAGCGAACACTCAGCGCACACGCCCGGGGACCCCCAACTGGACGCTAAGTGAAAAGGACGCGCTAGAGGACCACCGTTGAGGTCCCGCGCACCCCTCGCAGCCGAGAACAACGCTCTTACCCAGCTCTTCAGCCCCGCCTCCCCTCCTCGCGTCGCCGCCGCCCGCCCCGGCCCGCCGCGGAGACTCACGGGATACGTAGTACGCCACGCCCACCTCCTCCTCTCCCCACCCCTCCAAGCACCGGCTCCGTGGGGCCTGACTTCCGGTTTGCTGGCGTGGCCCCAGCGCCGAGCGCGCGGACCGCGGCAGCCCCCTTCCGGCCGGGTGCTGCTCGCCGCCAGCCCCTCTCGGCCGCGTTTCCCTGCCGCGGGGCGGCCGGAGTGGGCGCTGAGGGGACCAGCGCCCGCGGTCCTGGGCCTCGCGCGCGTGTGTTGCTGGGTAACGGGCCTGCTCCCGGCGGCGCCTCGGCCCCTCCTGCCCCGGCTGGCCACTCCTTCCCGATCCTCCAGGCCCCAGCCCACTGGTCGGTCCTGGTGCAGCCGAGGCCAAAGCAATGGGAAGCCCTTCGCGGTGTACCCGGAGGGGCGGCCTTCGCCGGGGAAGCGGCGGTGTCTTCGAGGAAACCGGAAGCCCGTGGTGACCCCTGGCGACCCGTTTCCGAACGCTGGGGAATCGAAACTCCGCGGCGCTGCGTAGCCTGACTTAGGGGTGAGTGACGGGCTGTGGCCGGGGGAGGGTTGCGGGCAGTGCCGGCACCAACGGCCGCCGCGGTGGCCGTCCCGGAGGCAGGTCCTTTCTGTGGCCGGGAGCAGCCCACGCCTGGGCATCCCTGCCCCCTGCCAGCCTCGCACCCGCGCTGTTCCAGGCCCATCCTGGTCCTTCGCTTTACTTCTCCTTATTTTCGTTCCGGACTCTGACTTACGGGAACGTCTTCGGTTTTATTTCATTCATGGAGACTGCTTTTATGTCTAAACGTAAGAGGGACGCGTGACTAGGGCGGTACTGCCTGGGGCGCCCGAGCAGTGGACTTCACCCCTGCACATTGTCGAGGCCGGCAGTAGGTGTTCTTCGTTTCGCCAGTGTCTCCCCTGTGCGTTGTACGGTCTGCGACCTTTTGCTGAGTGACTGCAACTTGCAAGGTAGGCAGAGACCGCGGCCCTGCAGTCAGGGAACTCAAACCAGAGACTCGCGAAAACTGCAGAACAGAGGAAAACAAAGATCGCTCCGGGATGTGTTGTTAGAAAAATGCTAAGATGATAAAAGACAGTGACGTACGAGGATTGGAATTGACCCGTGCCTCTTAAACGTGGAAGACGCTATTTTGTTTTTGTAATTTTAAATTGGATTGAGCAAGATCTCGCGGCATAATTTAAATTCCAGTTCTCTAAACATGCCATATCGAGTTTCCCAACCTGTTGTGATCACTCACTACAAGCATGTGTAAACGAGGAGCTGTGCATCCCTCACAGGGTTATTATAAAGTTTTAATGCGCTGTTGTTTCTAAAATCGGGAGTTGTGTACAAATGTAAAGTTTTAATTTAAAGAGACAGTATAGTGTCATGGGAAATCCACTGGATTAAGTCAGAACATTCACTGAGGATCTGCGTGCTGATTTTTCTGTTTGTGCCGCTGGGTAAGAGATTAAATCTCTCCATTTTCTCTGCCTCTCCAGTGGTATTAAGGATTACTCTCCAAGGTACCAAAGCAAAGTTTCTACGAGTTTTGCTGGCTCTGGAGTCAACTGGTTGATTTCCATTTCTGGCTCCCACACTTTCTACTTTTGTCTTTCTCAGTTGCTCCACTGGTGATAAGAGGGATTTCTTGCCCTCTTCAGAGGTCTTAATGTAGATTTAATGAATCGTTAAAAATAAACAAGACAGTTTCCCTCAAAGGCAAAGCGTATTGCTTGACATACTATAAACACTTGGTAAATATTAATTACTAACACAGAAGCTGTCATGATTAATAAAATGTGACATTTTCCATAATTCATGAACAGAGCCAATGTGGTATTTATATTCTGGATTATAGTTGTCATACCGCTATTAGAGAATACTCATTGCTAACACTAGTAACATTTAGTGAACTACATACGTGCTCAATTACATTGAGATGTATTATTTTATGAAAGGAATGAAAAGAAGTAAACTGCTCTTTATACCTATGTTAACCCTGAAAAATTCTTATGATTCCTGGGCATGCAAATTCATTTCAGACTGACACAGTGAGATAAATCAGTGAGGGTTATAAAAATGAGAAGGAAGTTTTTCATACTGTATATCTGGTGCTAAGTACATTTGGGGGCACTCACTGAGTTATAGGGTGTTTGAGTGCTGAGATACATAGATAGAATGACAGTATCTTGAAAAAAAAGGCACTTATAACCCCTTTATAAAATAGTTAGGCCATTCCTGCCTCTAATTATTCATTAAAATAGAGAAAGGAGTGTTGGTCTTCTATAAGACTTAATTCTTGCTCCATAGTATCTTGTCTACTCTGTGAAGGGCTATTCTGGCTTTTCAGAGGTAGAAACATGATGGAAATGCTAAGTGAAGTAAGCCAGTCAGAGAAAGACAAATACCATTGATTTCACTAATATGTGGAATCTAATGAACAAGATAAACAGAACAGAATGACAACGTTTAGAGGGTGGGAGGGAAACTGGATAAAGGAAGGTGAAGGGATTAGCTGAAGAATATATATACATAGCCCATGGGCACAGACAATAGTGTGAGGGTGGGGGTGCTGGGTGGAGGTGGGCAAAGGGAGGAGGACATCTTCACTATTGTTAACAATAAAAAAACTTAGGAAGACAAAAAGGTAATATAGAATAGAAAAAAGAAAGTAACAAATGGGCCTTTATTTAAACCCTACCTGTCACATACTGTCAGTGATTTTAGGCAAATTTACCTCACCTCTGAGCCTCCGTTTTCTTATCTGGTAGTCATCATTCTAGCCAAGTTTGGTGTGGACTAGTACTACATACCTTTTACTCAGTTCCTGGCAAAAATGTGAATTCCCTTATATCTCTAGGTTGCCATCCCATGTTCAGATTAAAATTTTGCCTTCACAATTTAGGAAGGTGGCATCTTAGTGATGTAGTTCAACCCTATCATTTTATTGGTGGGAAAATTTAGATCTGGGGAAGTAAAGTAATACTCAAGGCATCAGATTGTATACTAGAACCTAGATTTCTGAATCTTGGGCCAGAGTTCTACCTACCACTGAGCTCTGCCTTGTCCAGATTATTGTTGGTAATATCAGATTCCACGCTATGTTTCCTCTCAGAATGTTGTATTAAGAGCATAAAATTGGCCCTAGCTGGCTTGGCTCAGTGGATAGAGTGTCAGCCTGGGGACTGAAGGGCCCCAGGTTCAATTCTGGTCAAGGGCACATGCCCAGGTTTCGGGTTTGATCCCCAGTAGGGGGCATGCAGGAGGCAGCCGATCAGTGATTCTCTCTCATTGATGTTTCTATCTCTCCCTCTCCTTCCTCTCTGAAATCAATAAAAAAAAATTTAAAAAAAGAAAAGCCTAAATTTGGTCCTGGCTGGGTAGCATGGTTGGAATGTTGTCTCCATATGCCAGGGTTGGGGATTTGATCCCTAGTCAGAGCAGCAGTCAGCCAATGAGTGCATGGATCGCTGGAGCCACAAGTCAATGTTCCTTTCTCTCTCTCTCTCAAAAAAAAAAAAAAAAAATCAATAAAAATTTTTTAAAAGGATATAAATTTGGAAGCTTATTTGGGTTCACATCCCAGCTTTGCCACTGATTAGTTATGTATCTGTTATTAAAGTATTTGTTTCCAAGACTTTGTATATAAATTAGAATAATAGTACTAAATAGAAAAAAATGCATGTGGAAGCCTGGCATACAGTAAGTGAGCAATTAATGGTAGATATTATGATGATGAAATATGAGAAGATAATCATATTTATCCCTAGAAAAAAGACCAGTCTGGTGTCAGGTATTTCTTTGTTTTCTAGTGTGTTGCACCCAGCATTTGTAGCATATCTCAACTGAGGGTCCTCTCAGTGTTAACTGTAGTGAAGACTGAAATTTAAGATTTTTTAAAATAATTCTGATTAACAATGTTTGATTCTATTTTTTTCTTTATGTCCCTCCCCTAGCCTTAAGAACTACTGTTCTGTTTCCTATCCACCTGATCTGGCAAATTGTGTCCTTCTTTCTCCATTATTATTGCAGTATGTGATTTTATAAGAAATATATTTGGTCATTTGGGTAACCAAAATAATATTTCTCATATATCACAGCTCTCAAAACCCTTGGAATTTACTGAGGGATAAAAACTATGAGAGCATCTTTTGTCATAATACAGGAGTGAACAAAAGTAGCTCTACAGTTGTAATACAAATAAATACTACAGTAATTAAAAATAATACAAGAATAAACTGTTTCACATACTCATGAATGTAAACCTACGTTTGACCTCCCCTCTACATGGTCTCATCCTCAATTTTGAAATCACATCACAGCCATAAAAGTGAAATGAGTGTCTTGTTATTTAGGGGTATAACAAGCCCTTTCCAACAGGACTGGGTTTATGTTAATGAGATGACTTTTGGACAGCACCTGAGGATGGTGGCTGGCTGCCAGGAGAACCACCCATCTGATTAGAGGGTTGGAACGTTTAGACCTCAGGGTAGTGGAGAGGGGCTGGATTATGCCTCTTATGTAATGAAACCTCCATAAAAATGCAGGCATAGTGAAACTGATTCTGCACCTGTGTTTACATCTCAGCTCTCCATTTACTGTGTTACTATGGAAAATTACTTAAATTTCTTCTACATCAGTTTCTTCACTTAAAATACTTTTAGAACAGTGACTGACACTAGTAAGCAATCAAATGTTATCTCAAGCAAGGACTGGTAAATAAAAACATTTTTCAAGCATCAATTAATTACTAATCTAAGATACATAAAACACCATTGAGAGTCCTCATTTAGAATGCTGTATTTGGTGTCTTAATTTAAAGGATTTTTTAGGTTCTTTTATGGCTTACAGTCCCTCTTACCTTGTCTTTCCCATGAGATCTTAAAAGGTTTCAGCTACTATTTCTCCTTTCATCATGTTTTTTCAGGAACATAACTCAGGTGGGGAAGTAATGCTGAATCTAACAACAAACGTAGATGTAAAGAGCGAGTATATTTTAACTAAGTAAGTAATTGGCTTCTTTTAGGTTTTAGACTCAGAGTTTGATTTGAATCCTACCTCTACCATTCTTCATTCAATAATCGAGTATCTTCCACACAGTGATGAGTCGGGGACACAATGATAAGCAAAAAACATGCCATAGCCTCTGCCGTTACAAAGCTAATGTTCTACTAGATTTAATTTTGAACAAATTGCTTTACCCTTCAAATTCTAACCAAATGTAGATGATGCCTGCTTCATAGAATTATATGGATGAATTTAAATAAGATAATATTAAAATAATGTACATGTTACTGGGACATAGTGGACACTCAAATGTTAATTTCTTTGTCTTCTACTTTGAATGTATAACAAATATAATCAGTTACTGGTATGGAAAGAATATAGTGGAGTATGCATTAAAATATATAATAATAAGGTAATGAATTATACTAAAAGTTTGAAAATTTATAATTGGAGAGGCTATAAACTTGCTGTTTATATCTAAGAATGGAAATGTTGATGAGGAAGAAATATATGGGTATAAAGAGTTTAAAATTGTTTATTTTTTGACTGAAAATGGTGTTTCACAATTTTTTATAAAACTTACTAATAGCTGAGATTATGGTTTTATGTGATTTATAGATATCAACTATTTTAATATTCTTAAAAACTCTATGAAGTAGTTGCTATTATTTCTTATACTTTATAACTAAGGAAACTGAGGCAGCGAGGTTAAGCAACTTGCCCAAAGTCACATAGACACTAAGTAGTAGAGCTTGGATTCAAACCCTTCGCAGTCTGGTTTCAGAGTCTATGCTCTTAACCATAAACTATACTGCCTCTAAAACAAACAGGAATTTTGAACCATTGCCTCAATATTCACATTATTCTAAATATTCCTTCTTTTTCTGTTCATTTATTCAGTGAGACATTTATATTATATATATTTACTGTTTTAAATAGCTGCCATGGATACACTGGTAGAAGATGATATCTGCATTCTAAATCATGAAAAAGCCCATAGGAGAGATACAGTGACTCCGGTCTCAATATATTCAGATGAGTCTGTTGCTTCACATTTTGCCCTTGTCACTGCATATGAAGACATCAAAAAACGACTCAAGGATTCAGAAAAAGAGAACTCTTTCCTAAAGAAAAGAATAAGATTTTTGGAAGAAAAGGTAATTATTTACCTTCATTATGTTTTGTGACCCAAAGAACAATTGAAAATATTTAAAGTATTAAATATTTTTCTGTCCTGTCTTACATGGTTGTACTAAATTTCCAAGGATAACTCACTGCTAACTTCAAAACCCTAGGTACTGTACTGATAGATAGCAATGTTTCACATACGCTGTGCTGGGGGAATATTTATAGAATAGGATTTAGCAATTTGGAGGGATATATGTCAGATATTTTTCTTAACCTCTTTTTCAGATTGCCTTACCTTCATAATTGTATGGTTTTTATTCAGGATCTTAAAATCTGTGCAAAAGTTATAGCCAATAAAGGAAATCAAGTGTCAAAAGAGAAAGCGCCTGGAACAGTGTTATTATATGCTTAATCATATCTTCACCAGGACTTACATCTTCTTTACCTCAGCATTCTTTTGCTTTTGAATACACATAACAAGAATAGTGCTTTTTAACTGATAAAATTTGGTCTATATACCTTTTCCTGAAGAAATCTGACATTCTTTTCTTTTTTTTAAATATATTTTTTTGATTTTTTTACAGAGAGGAAGGGATAGGGATAGAGAGTTAGACACATCGATGAGAGAGAAACATCGCTCAGCTGCCTCCTGCACACCCCCTACTGGGGATGTGCCCGCAACCAAGGTACATGCCCTTGACCAGAATCGAACCTGGGATCCTTTAGTCCGCAGCCCGACGCTCTATCTATCCACTGAGCCAAACCGGTTAGAGCCTGACATTCTTAAATGTTGTAAAATATACAGCAAGGTAGATGATTCAATTATGAATCATCAGTTCTACTTGGCTTTGTGTATTAGGAAATTTTCCTCACTTATCCATTTGTTTTTGAGTTTTAAAGTTTTAGCTTAATTTGTTTCTTCAGATCAGCATATTCATATTTCACAAGCAACAGCTTCAATAAAGGGGGAAGGAAATGGGTTCCTTAGCAAACAAGGAAATAAATTATCTGCTTGTGAAAACTCAAGGATGGAACTTGATAAAGTTTTATTCTTTTGGAGGAATAAGAGAAGAGGAGTCAGTTGTAAAAATTATTCATAATTTCTATGTATTCATATGAATTTACTTTAATAGTGATTAAATGAATTTGTGACATTCTGGGATAAAGTGAGAAAAAGTAACATTCTGGAGCTCATACCTGTGTGTGTTTTAAAGTTCAGAAGAATATTGTGATTCGGTCTAGTTAACATTGGAAATATTTCTGTACTTTGTGATCAATAATCTATTAATTCCCATTCTGGAATAATATAGGATTTAATGAACTAATCCATCCTTTCCTTGACACCTTTTGTCATAATGGAAAGTAAATACTATGACTTGGAAAACAACTAAGGACTATAAAAAAATGATGTACTGTGTTTTAGTATGATAAGTGAATGTTATAAAAAAGATACTGTAAAGTATAAAATTCTATATAATAAAAGGCTAATAAGCAAATCAACCAAATGGCAGAATGACCAGTTGCTATGACGCGCACTGACCACCAGGGGGCATATGCTGAATGCCGTCACTGCCCCCTGGTGGTCAGTGCACTCCCAAAGGGGGAGCACCGCTCAGCCAGAAGCCGGGTTCACAGCTGGCGAGCATAGTGGTGGTGGCAGGAACTTCTCCCACCTCCGAGGAAGCACTAAGGATGTCCGACTGCCGGACATCCCCCAAGGACTCCCAGACTGTGAGAGGGTGCAGGCCAGGCTAAGGGATCTGCCCGCCCCCCCCCCCCCCCCCCGAGTGCACAAATTTCATGCACTGGGCCTCTAGTATTTTAATAAGTACAGTCAAACCTCAGTTCTCAAACATCTCCCATCTTGAACAATTCACTTCTCAACCCGACAACTCTTTCATGCTGATACCTGTATGATCAGTCATTCATCTCTCAGGCGACAAAAGAGAGAATGCGCGATTATGAGTCAGTTTACCACTAAACTTTACATTGTAACATCTCAGGAAATTGTGCTGTGAATATTTTCATGTTTTTTTTTGCTTTTATTGCTGCTTATTATGATCAAATTTTCATTTTTAGTGTACATTTCATTTCCTTTTTGTTAAATTTTCATTTATATTTAATGTCCTTTTCATTTTTAAAGCATTTATAGTATTTATAAAGTAAACAGTATATTAGACATGTACTGTGTACAATAAAGATTAAACAAAAACAGGGAATCATTTGGGGGTCTGGAAGAGATTAATTCAGTTTACATTATTTCTAATGGGGGGGAATGATTCCTTTTTCAGTCAGCTTTCTGGAACAAATTGAGTTTGAGAACTGAGGTTCTATTGTAAAAGCATAAAATAGAATACTTTAACCCTTTTCGGTCCAACCTCGAGGCTGACTCGACAGACCAGGCCAGGGGTCCTCAAACTTTTTAAACAAGGGGCCAGTTCACTGTCCCTCAGATCATTGGAGGGCCGGACTATAGTTTTAAAAAAAAAAACTATGAACAAATTCCTATGCACACTGCACATATTTTATTTTGAAGTAAAAAAACAAAACGGGAACAAATACAATATTTGTATTTGCATGTGGCCCGAGGGCCGTAGTTTGAGGACCCCTGGACCAGGCGCTAGGAGCAGGTCCAACGTCGAGCAATAAGAACATTAAAAAGTTCAACATTCAATCCCGTCAATTAATTTGGACCAGACTGTTTGAATTCAAAAAATAACATTGTACCGCAAAGGGTTAAAAAATATTCTGTCCTTTTTTGCTTTCTTAATCAGTAAAGGTTAATTGTATGGAAGTAAAATGTTCAGATAATTACAGTCCAGGCTTTATTCCTGTATTACAGTGATTAAAGTAAGATGTGATGCCATGAGAAGACTAATTGTTTTATGTAGAATACCCTTTTAAGCTTTTTCTTATTTTATGTCATTAGCTTACAGGCGCTTTATTAGATGAAGAAACAAGTTCTGTGGGACGAGAACAAGTAAATAAGGCCTATCATGCATATCGAGAGGTTTGCATTGATAGAGATAATTTAAAGAGCAAATTGGATAAAATGGTAAGTTGGTTTGAAAAGAATATTAAATATTGCAAATGAATTTTCTCATTCAAGATGTTAAAGTTAGAAATAAATACTTATTGAATAAAAATTTAAAAATAAATATGCTCAAGGCAAAAATAAAAAGTATTAATAGCCTTAGCTGGTTTGGTTCAGTGGATAGGGCGTTGACCTGCGGACTGAAGGGTCCTGGGTTCAATTCTGGTCAAGGGCACATTTCCAAGTTGTGGGCTCGATCCCCAGTGGGGAGCATGCAGGAGGCAGCCAATCAATGGTTCTCTCTCATCATTGATGTTTCTGTCTCTCCCTCTCCCTTCCTCTCTGAAATCAATAAAATATATATTTTTAAGAAAGTATTAATAGTAATGTTTGCAACTTAATTCTATGCAAAATTTATCTATATATATAAAAAGCCAGTGACCGGAATGCTGGAACCACTGCAACGACTGGTTGCTATGACACCCACTGTGGCCAGCGAACCAGCCAATCAGGGGGTGGGGCCAGCCAGCCAACCTCCTGCCCCCTGGCCAGCCCTGTCCCTGATCGCCCCCCTTCCCCCACCCGGCCCCACACCAGATCGGCCCCCCCACCCCAATCAGCCTGCAGCCCCTCTCCCCAGACAGCTCCGCCCCTGATTGCCCCCCCACCAATCAGGGGTGGGGCTGGCCGGCCAACCTCCCACGGCTGCTGACCCCTGATCAGCCCCCCTACCCCTTTCAGGAGTGGGCCGCCCGGCTCACCGCCTACAGCCCCTTCCCACCCCCAATCGCCCACGGCCCCTCTCCCCAGCCAGGCAACCTCCCGCGGTCTCCTACTGACAAGCCCGGCCCCTCTCCGCCCCGATTGGAGCCGGGCTGGCCAGACCCCACCCGTGCACAAATTCGTGCACAAATTCGTGCACTGGTAGTAGTCTATATAATGATGTTAGGACTTAAATACATCTAACACCACTCACTTATTTTGAAAAATCAGGACATGGTAGAATTTGTCAGTATTTTTTTTTTTTAAGGCCAGTGAATACTATGTCCCAAGTTAGAAAAAGACAAAAAGATTAGTGAAAAACTGAGTTCATTTTCCCACTTTGCTTTTAAAAGGCTAGAATCAGTTTTTCAACATCTACCTGAAAATTAATATATAATATCACCTGCAGATTTTGTTGAATGTAATTTGGCATTTTCCCTACTTAACTAGAATAAAGACAACTCTGAATCTTTGAAAGTATTGAATGAACAGCTGCAGTCTAAAGAAGTAGAACTCCTCCAGCTAAGAACAGAGGTGGAAACTCAGCAGGGTATGCCACTTGTTATAAATATTCTAACGGGATTAATACATATTTTCTGTTCGTGTGTTATATCCATGATCACTTAACTTTATCTGTATGCTACGGCTTTAACTTATTTAATTTTTAGGATTATGTTAATTTATTCTGCTTTCAACTCCTTTTAACTTTTCCTTAGCTATAAATTGCACTATTCCGTGCCGAAACAGGTTTGGCTCAGTGGATAGAGCATCGGCCTGCGGACTGAGAGGTCCCAGGTTTGATTCCGGTCAAGGGCATGTACCTGGGTTGCAGGCATATCCCCAGTGGGAGATGTGCAGGAGGCAGCTGATCGATGTTTCTCTCTCATCGATGTTTCTAACTCTCTATCTCTCTCCCTTCCTCTCTGTAAAAAATCAATAAAATATATATTTAAAAAAAAAAAAAAAAAAAAAAAAATTGCACTATTCCTGGGGGAGAGGTGGAGGAAGTTTTTATTCAGGGCTAGTTTGTGATAAAGTAGATGAAGAAAGGAGTAGAACCCCATCCTTGTCAAAACCTTTTGCCCACTGGTATGTCCTGGCTTTTCTTCCCACTAATCTTTTGTCCACTGTTAAGACATACTGTCATGGACTGGTTACAATTACTTTTTTAAAAAATTTTTCTGAAGGTTATTAAAATGTGCAGATGAGCAGTGAGTTGCTAGGGTGAAAAGTTAGGTCTGTGAGATATGAGTATTAGCATGTTTGCATGAACATTCTAATGAAACAAGCTGAAAAGTAGGCCTCTGAGAGACCTTTTGATAGGAGATTGAGATGAGATCTCTTATGGTAGTTTAGTGGGACTTTTCTAGGTAGATTAAAGAACGAAATCAGGATAAGTCAGTATTCAGTTGTATCAAGGGGTCTACAGTGGAAGGTTTATGAATAAAATTGTTTTGACAATGTTCTCGGTTTAAGTGTCAAACTTTATACTCTGAAAGGACTATGTGGAGTGATTAGTGGAGTGAGCCTCAGTTTACTCACTTTAATTTTTGTCACTGTCTTAACCTTGACTTATATAAAGATTATTAATCTAATTTTAGCATATGCTTGACTAGTATATATCTTGAAGTTCCATGCTGACCAATTTATACTTTAACCTACACAGAAAATCAAGGATAGGGGTGAACAATACATTCTAAAACAATGCTTGCTAGATTTTTTATTCTAATTAGCATAGATTTTTAAAGCAATTACTGTTTTTAAAAAACTATTACTAATTTTCCATATATTATATTAGTTACTAGCATAACTTTTTTGAATTGTAAGTAGAAGACAGAAAAAAAATTGTGATGTCCCTCTTTTTTTCAGTGATAAGGAATTTAAATCCACCTTCATCAAACTGGGAGGTGGAAAAGTTGAGTTGTGACCTGAAGATCCATGGCTTGGAACAAGAACTAGAACTGATGAAGAAAGAATGTAATAATCTCAGAATAGAGCTACAAAAAGCCAAACAAACGGTACTGCAGAGTTAAATTGAGAAATTCAGATTCTGTGTGCATTGTATGAATGACTTAACTAGGGATAAAATCACAGAGTTAACAAATTCTAACTACTTAGAGTTACATTCTCTGAAAAATTCACCTTTATCCTCCCGTTTGTGCTAAAATCTGATATACTGTATACTTTTAGCATAATCCCAGGATTATATAATTTTGTTGTATAAAAACTAACTTTTATAAAGCTTATTACTTATTAATGTATTAAAGCCATTCTTTCAAACTCCCTTTCCTTCAATTTCCTTAAGTCATTTTTTCCTCTGGTTTAAAGACAACTCGGATTTGTTTCCCTTTTATTTTCCTTAATAATTTAATAAATACAGATACCACAAGAGACAACTTGATTTTAGAATTTTAAAAAAGACTTTACAGAGGCCACTTGTTTTCAGAAGTCTGATACTTTGGGGCAAGTTTAATTTTCAGCAAATAACTGAGAATTCAAGAATTTGGGGCAGGGGAGAGGAGAGCAAACCCAAAACACCCTACTTAGCTGCTTAAGTGTGGTTAGCTTAAAGTCATCTATTAAAACACAGGTGCCTGTCTGTCTTCACCAAGAGTCTATTTACTAATATTTTACATTGGGTTCTAACAAGTTTGGATACATGTTTTCCGATGTCATAGCAAATAATGCCAAGGATAAAAAGAAGAGATGATGGAGAAGCAGGGTGGTGTGAGAGCAGTGCAGCAAATGCAAATTTTAAAAGTTATGGATTCAGATAGCCTTTATATGCATCATATATATAGTCATGTATTTCAAACTAAGGTACCCGGCTGGATAATTAGTTCTCAGCTCAATCATTTTGCCCATCTGAGCATTTCAGCACTATTGAGCTGTGTCACCTACTCGAGGTGCCTCTGCATATCACTAACTAAAAGAAGACTACTTCCAACACTTCCCGACAGACAGCCAGGATCTGCTTCTGAATCCCAACTGTCCTTATATAGAGCTGACAGTCCTCTCATTACTACAATGCAGTCTTTGTCTAAGGTGACCACTGGTTAAGAATGAGCCAGGAATCAAGAGTAATACCATCCTGCCTTGGCCTTGATGGAATGAATTGCTGTGAACTGAACGAAGAACTTGTCTTGGAGCCCCCAACCCTGATAAAGGGGAAACAGTACAAAAATTACAGTCAATTCCTGTTAGAGCCAAAATGTTTTTTTTCCTATTTGACATCTCAAGTTGATTTTCCCAGCTTTGAACCTGTGACTGTGTTCCACAATTCCTTCAAAGGCTTTTAGCATCCTTTCCCACAAGCCCAGGCGCCAGTAGCCTTGAGAGGCTCCTCTTAAAAAGATGTACTTGCAACTAAAAATCTGCACCTTGAAGCTCTGAATTATAACTGTCAAAAGCTCAGAATGTATAAATTATGCATTCGACTTCAAATAAGTTGATAGCTTGTATACATAATGGGTATTTCCTTATAGAGTAGGAAACAGTATCATGGAATCATAAAAAACTTGGCTCATAATTGTGGTATGTATGTGTTATAGTACAGTTCTTATTACTCTTTTCCACTAGATGGTGCTAGGGGATAAATTTGCTTTTAGTTTAATTATTCATCTATCATAAATCACAGAAACAGACTTGAAGATAGAAGAAACTTTATCACTTCTTACTACTGATAAAACAATCTGAGAGACTAAGAAACTTTGAGTCTAAGGTGAGATGGGGTGAATAATTTTTTTTAAAAAAGGTCCCCACCTTCATTGGAATTTATTTGGCAGGGAAAGGTGAGATATAAAGTTAAAAATGCTTACAACTAATATAAGAAAATAAACCAGGAAAGGGAAGAGTGGAAATGCTTAATTCATCAAGGGTTCCAGATTGAAATCTTATATTGACATTGTGGGATGTGTAATTTTAAGTCTTGTTTCAAAGGTGTTGGTTAGTCAGCATGAGAATCAAAAAGCAAGCCAAAGAGAGAAATATATGTTCACATTAATAATCTTATATCTACTATAGCCATATTTATAAATATTTTTAAGATAGTACCTTCTGAAAAGTGATACATCATCCTACGTGAACATAATAGTGTTTTTTTGTTTGTTTGCTTAAATATTTAGTGAATTCATTTGATTAGTGTTTAGTATTAATGAGGTCAAGGTTCTAGGGTCAGTTCCACTATGGGCCTATTAGACCAGCGGTCGCCAACCTTTCAGACCTCACGGACTACCGGTTGGTGACCGCTGTTTTAGACTTTCTGTAGCCCCCAATATTCCAGCCCTTGTTATCCAGTATAGTTGATACTTTGAGAAAAACAGCCACCATTGCCAAAGAAGTATAGGAAACACTGGATCAGTAAAAGGGAGATGGTGTAGATGTCTAAGGTCCCTAATAATAGCCCATTCACAATGTACTATAGTGTACTATAAGGTCTGAGAAGTCCTCTAGTACAAGAAGCTGTTTAACTTGAGCAATGTTTCCCAAGCCATGGGTCGGCCCCTTTATGGGAAACTCCCACATCATATGGCACCAGTCAGGAAACGGACCCATACTTCCTTTTAGAAAACAGGCAAACTAGTGACTGGCTAGGAATTGGATTTTTTAATATTAGAGACAATTCATTTGTGCTTAATGCTAGTTTACATTAGATTTTTCTGAATTGTTAGGCAATAGCTGGAAAAATATTTTCCAACCCAAACTGTCCTATTTTAAAAAAAATATTAGCTTTAAAAATGAAGGTTTCCAGCACTGGCCGGTTGTCACTCAGGTGATTGGGCATGCGCCAGGAGGTTGCTGGTTTGATTCCCGGTCAAGGGCACAGCCTGGATTGCTGGCTCCATCCCCAATAGCAACCGATGTTACACTCTCATATCAATATTTCTCTTCCTTCCTCTCTCTCTTAAAAAAAAAAAAAAAGTCAATAAACTATTCTTTAAAAAATGAAGGTTTCAATTCTACATATATGTTTCAGTATACATTAATTTGAATGTATATTTTTAATCAGTGATACAAAGAAACTAAAAGTGACCTGATGTGATTCCTTTATCTCCTATGGAGAACAGGAAAGAAAAATGTCCAAGGTCATATGCTATGGACGTGACTCTTGGGCCAGTTCTCTTTTCCCTCTATTGTGCTTCCCAAGATAACAACTTAAAAGAATTTTTAGTTGGTATTTTTTGAATAATCAGAGATCCAAAAATGCTTTAACTCTTATAATAGAAAAAATTTTAATATTTTACTCACCCAAGTTCACAGTACTCACAAAGTCCTTATACAGCCTTTTAATGTTCCATGTTAAAACATATTTAGATTATGTAAATAAAAAATAAATTCTGTTCTCTCAGTTTATACGGGCCACTTCTGCCAAGTGAATTAGTACCCATGATAGTGATTTTTGTTACAGATCCTTAAATGATGCACTGAAAACAAGTGTGTTACAGTTGTCTTGAACATATCTACTTTTTAATGTTATTTTTTTCTGTCATATCTATAATCTACACCACTAAAACTTAAAATATATAAAGGATTTTATAGACTTGTGGAATAAGGAAGTTTATGCTGATCTTTTTAAAAAATAACCTGTTAAATTTTGGTACTTTAAAAAAATATCAAAAAGTGAAATACCAATAAAACTTCATTTTTTCATGGAATTCATTCACATGTACCTTGAATGAGCATTACTTTGTTATTTGTTACCCTTTTTAGAATATAGACTTTAGATTTCAGAAGTACATTTTGTAAGATTCCAAATTCTTTTACATAAGAGCATTTTTTAAAATTAAAGCATTAATGACTAAATAATTACAATTGATTTTGAAATATCTTGTATAGGTTTGGAGGTGTTTTCATAAAATTGAATATCAAATCTAGTTTATGCTGTATAGTTATAGACATATAATACTCATCTGAAAGATGTGTCTAGTATTGAGAATAAATAGAATGTAACAACTTTTAAACTTTTTTAAAACAAATGACAGGATCCATCTCAGGAAGACAATCTGCAGAGCAGAGATCTCCAAAGACAAAGCATTTCAAGGTATGAACATTATTCAGCATTCAAAAATAATACATTCTTCTTCTATAGACTACTTTGTATATAGGTACTTAGTTTTTTTTATTTAGCCTTAAAAACGGATATTACTTGGGTACTGCATGTAATGTTTATCACAATATATAAAATACATTTAACTCAGTGGTTCTCAACCTTCTGGCCCTTTAAATACAGTTCCTCATGTTGTGACCCAACCATAAAATTATTTTCGGTGCCACTTCGTAACTGTAATGTTGCTACTGTTATGAATCGTAATGTAAATATCTGATATGCAGGATGGTCTTAGGCGACCCCTGTGAAAGGGTCATTCGACTGCCAAAGGGGTCGTAACCCACAGGTTGAGAACCGCTGATTTAACTGATGCTTAAAATATGCTTGAACTTTAGTAGAAAGGTGCATAATGTAATGCCTTAAACAAAATATTTGAACATTCAATAATATTTTAGGTAGGATATTAGAGAGTTAATTGTGTAGAAGTATTCTGTAATAAATCCTAATTTATACATAGAGATTTATGCAATTCTTACACTAATATCACTTATCTTAAGGATAAACCTGGACAGCCTTAGTCTTTGGTATAACATAAATTCTTAAAAGAATTATCCTTCTGGGATAAGAACAAAAGTAGTCTCTTAAGTGTGCAATAAGCATATGTCTTAAAAAAAAATACCTGCACACTTTAATTCAAAAAATACGTTATTGCTAAAAAATGCTAACCATCAGAGGTAAATGTATAGTGTCAATTAAGAAAACTGGGCTTTTATATAATTTTACTTTGTAAGCAGGACATGTACCCCTTCTTGATATGTAGATAAAAAGGTTTCATTACACTTAAGATTTAGAAGTATGAAATATTTTAAGGGGGTTAATAAGGTTGTGTTGACAATATGCATATTGTGGGTGCTATGAAAAATGTTACCCCCCCCCCCCCAAAGCCAGTCAGTTATTAGACTGGATAACTAAAAGATGGTTTTGAGCAGCAGCATGTTAGAGTGAAGTAAATTCTTCTTGGACCTGTATCCTCAAGTAAAATTCGGTAACCTAGTTTGCCAAGTTGGCCTGAGAATGTGGGTGAAGTGCCTAGCATATAATAAATGCTCAAACAACTTTTTTTGTTTGTTTCATCTATTGCTTTTAGTGTTCTCATGTTGGATGCTTTAGTGTTGCATCTCAGTGTTTGAGTAGTTTTACAAGTTCTTTATAGAAACCATATATATTACTAGGATTTTGCTTGCATGGCATTTAAAGCAAAACTTAACTTTAATCCCCTGCCGGGTGGGCAAAGGGGGTCAGCACTGCAGTATAATCTCAAAGATGCCTTGTTAAGTGAAGATTAGTTGGAACTCTGCTAAAGATTTGTGGGTGACAACTTTCCTTTTCCAATTCCACTTGAGTAATATTTAAACATTTTATTTAAATAGATAAAATTAAAAATTAAAAATAAATTTGTAACACTATAGCACTTTAGTGTTAGTTGTAAAGTAACTGCCATTACTTCGTTATCCACAAGAGGGAGAGCTTGTTCTTAGTAATAATTTCAGATATTTATATCTGTAGTTTTCAATCCAGGTGACATTAAGGACAAAAGAAAAAGACTAGATCGGGGTCCTCAAACTACGGCCCGCGGGCCACATGCAAATACAAATATTGTATTTGTTCCTGTTTTGTTTTTTTACTTCAAAATAAGATATGTGCAGTGTGCATAGGAATTTGTTCATAGTTTTTTTTTAAACTATAGTCTGGCCCTCCAACGGTCTGAGGGACAGTGAGCTGGCCCCCTGTTTAAAATGTTTGAGGACCCCTGGACTAGATAGATGTTCAAGTTCGTGATCTAGCTGTTAGTTTAACATAATTTATAAGCAGTCTTCATTAAACTGAATTGGAAAATCTGTATCAGACATTGCTTCTAATACCTCTATGATAATTCTCTTTTATTTTATATGCTTAGCTATTTTGAATGTTTAAATATGTTTGATATTCCAGTATCCAAACACTATCTTGGTATTTGCTTTTCTTTTCTACAAGTCAGGTACTGATATACCATCTCATGCCAATAACGAAACACTACTTTTAGGCAGCATGATTCATATTGTGACTGTCTCCATGAATTATTAGCACATATACAGTGTTTATACTTACTGCTATGTAATGAGTAACTCCGGAAAGCACACCAAATGCCCAGGTTTGCATCAAGGACCAACAACTCTCTTCACAATGAAGATAGGTTCCTATGTGAAACATTCAATGTAGCACCATCTCAGATGTTTACTGGTGAAGTAGAGTGGATTAATTTTTGTGACATAATTATTCACACCTGTCAAAAACCTGCAAAAAATCCCTGCGATTTTTAAAAATATATATTTTATTGATTTCAGAGAGGTAAGGAGAGGGTGAGGGAGAAACATCAATGATGAGAGAGAATCATTGACCGGCTGCCTCCTGCACAGCAACATGAGCATATGACCTGACTGGGGATCGAACCGTGACCTCCTGGTTCATATGTTAGTGCTCAACCACTGAGCCATGCCAGCCAGGCAGCCCTGTGATTTTTAATAGACTACTGGTGAACAAGTGATGTTTACAACAGACTAAAACCTGTAGATTTCTCTTAGAGGCAGTAGAAAGTATTCCACTGCTACTATTGAAAGCATTCTGAATGGAATGGAATATTTTGAGAAAAATACATATGTAACCTTACATAATTCAAAATAATTGTTTTTTAATATATCTGTTGCTTCTGTGATTAAAATAGGACATTAGATTTAAGTATCAAGAGTATTCCTTGAAATTTGTTTTAAAAGGTTTTCATTTAAAGCTAGACAAAAGTTAAAGCATGAAGTGACATATCTGTCCAATTTTATTTCATTGCTACTAAAATTACACTAACCTGTACGAAACAATACTGGTCATTTGACATTATGGTAACAGTTGTTCTTACTCTAATATTTTATGTATTCTAGTTCAGCAAAGTTAAAAATATATATTGTAGATTTTGATTTATTTAGTTAGTTAAGGACCTAAAAAGGGGATAAAATCATGAATATCCAAATAAGAATATTTAGTTGAAGATGAAAGTTATTAAAAATTAGGTTTAAAATAACTAACATAATTTATCAGATAACTGAGGTAAAAAATACTTTTAATCATAAAAACGAGAGGCATTTGTGAAGTTTTTATTTCTTTTTCATATGATCCTCTCTCCCTAGTTTTTCCCCCCGTACCAGGAAATCATCTGGCTTTTCATGTCTTATGCTGTCATGTCACATTGGTTTAGTACCAACAGTATGAGACAGCCCAGTCAAACATAAAAGAATGGAATACATGAAACCCATATTTTATTTTAATGGGGCTTGGGTGTACATTCAGCAATTGATATGAGTATTTCAATTCACAGTGTCAAAAACAGAATAATCATAAGATAAATACAAATTTAAAACCCATACATGAATATCACTTTAGTCTTGATCAGTTATTCCTTACTATTAAATGTATTAATACACTTGCACTGTAATTATGATAAAATCTCAATTCTGAGACTAGAACTATAGGAAACTCATTGGTTAGAATACTTTTTTTCATAATACTCTTTTTAGTATAGTTCAGTTAATTGCTAGAAATTAGGTCAGTGTTATTATTATGAATAAAGTCTTTTCATTTGTTATAATGCCCTAATTAAGTATCTTTCAATTATTTAATGAGGAAGTTTTAATTTACATCATCTCAAAACTAATTCAAGCAGAAATACAAATGTGAGCATTTCTATTTTAAAGTTATTCTCTTCCGTTCATAAAGAGAAGAATGACCATTAACTTTTTTTTAAACCCTGTATTTCAGTGATGATGTGCAAAATGTATACTGGGAGCTGAAGAGAGAAATGTCTAATTTACATCTGGTGACTCAAGTACAGGTTGAACTACTAAGAAAACTGAAAACCCCAACTGCGATCAAGAAAGGCAAGTCAATGTTTGCCGGAAACCACTGATTCCAGCCAAAAGCTTGAAGAGCAACTAAGCTATCGTATCTTATCAAAATCTCATCAAATGAGTTTGATAAGCCAAAGAATATGTAGTATGTTCACAGCCTACCCAGTCTCTGCTTTGGCTTCAGTCTCATACTGGTCAACTTCACACATAAAGGTGTTGCTGATGTGTTTTTTCTTCAGTACTGTATTCTTTCCCCTTGTGGCTTTTTTTCTCAGCCAAGTGTTGCTTATGTGTATAAGGCTGAGGTGTTAAGTTTGCTCTAGTTGACCTTTTACCACAAGTACTTCATATATTTGAAAAAAAACAAAAAAACACCAAGACACCCAAAGCTATTTTTCATTACAGAGTATACCAAAGACCTAGCTCTTTCAATTGTTTGCTTTGAAAAAAGTAACTTTGATTCATTATTTGGTTTTCATTTTTTGCAAAGTTGTTTTTTCTGTCCATGAAAGATAGGTTATTTAGAAGAGAGGCTAGATGTTTATCCCCTTCAGCCAAACAAAAATTTTCATTGCTTTTCCTTTCATATTTTACCTGTTTGGCTGACTAAACTTTTAGAGTTTTGTGTTAACTAGTAGTGGTTACTTTGCCAAAGCTATTTTTATACCTCAGAGAAAAATCAGTGCATTTATACCTTTTATTACATAACAGTTGTATTTCTGAGAAGTTGTGTGATATAAATTTGAATGCCCTAAAATTTACTTTTTAAAGTAATGATATGACTTTTTACAAAAAATAATCATTATCCAGTTTTAAATTGTTTATATTTCAGATTGTCCCTAGAGTGCAAAAAATAAAATAAAATTGTATTTTATAAATAGCTCTCCTCAGGAGTATACACTAGTGGGCGGAAATGTTGCATATTGTGAAGGAAAACTAAGTTCAGAATTTGTTCCATTTTCTACAGTTAGTGACTTATGAATCAAAACAAAATAATATAGTGCTTTGGCAGGTCCTCACTTAATTTATGGTTCATTTTGTCCTTGAGTTTTCTAGTGGCCAGGGTTATATATAAAGGAATATTAGTTGATGGTAGAAATAAGACTTCTCTTAAAAGGGACTCATACAGTAATTTTGCAGTGAGTTTTCAGCGTGGCTCTTTATTTATATAATAAATATAATTTCCAAATAATAATAAAGGAAAAATGCTTTCCCTATTTAGAAATGGTTCATTCTTGTGTCTTGGGCTGGTGATAAATTTTTAGTGCTTTGAACTATAAGTTTCCTAGGACATTTCGTATAACAGTGGCAGGCTTGAGGCCACCACTCCTCACTACAAAATTCAGTGCTCTGAGGAGTAGACAGAGACAAGACTAGATTACCTTTTTCCTGACTACAATACCATCCTGTCCAAAAGCTGAACAGTATTACTTCCAATTCTCTCACTCCTGTCTCTCCTCCCAAGTAAAAAGACAGAGCTTATTTTATAATGTGGTTCAATTGCTTTGTTCTCAAACTACATAGAGTCGAGCTCAGTTGCAATTGGCATCCTTTTTGGCTTAGGATAAATGATCTTTCTGCCCAGGAATTGGAAGAGTAACAAAATCTCATACTACCATTGTTTTGACTGTGGCTAAACAATAGCGTTAGAGCAGTCTGTTTTCTAAGCCATTACATGCTTACTGAAGAAATTTTTTTTTTTTTTTAACTTGGCTTATATTGTGACAGTAGCAGAACTTACATTATATGTATTTCATAAGATACTGGATTATTTTATAGCTGTTATTTAAACTGTTTTTATTCACAAAAGCCTGAACACATATTATTTAGGTCTCACCAATTCATAATATAATTCTTTGTGAAAAAAAACTTGCTTTTGGACCACCTATGGAAAAAAAAGATTTGAATAAATAAAGGAATATGATACTTAATAATAAATACTGAAATTTGAGGAAAGCCTTCTTATTCTCTACTGAAGTAAAAAGTCTGCAAGCCTTCTCTAGCCACATTAAGAGCCCCGAACAGAATCTTTACTTGTATTTTAACTTTATTGGTTTCCCACTTTTAAAAATTTTAAATTCTTCACCTTTAATAGTGCAATGATACAGGCAGGATAGGATTACTATGCTGTGTCCATTTTGCAAGTGAGAAGAGTGATACCTGGAACAGTGCAGTGACTTCCCTAAGTTGGAAATGTTCACTTTACTTCCAGTTATAAATTCAACCAATTAATGTTAATTTTATGATAAAAAATGCCATGACAACTAACATTTGGCCTGTACTTTTCTCTTTTAGCGTGTGCCCCTGTAGGATTCATGGAAGACCTTGGGAAAGAAAGCACAAAACTGCACTTGACGAATTTCACTGCAACATACAGAAGACACCCCCCTCTCTCACCAAATGGCAAAACTCTTTGTCATACCACATCTCCCCCTTTACCAGGAGATGTAAAGATTTTATCAGAGAAAGCAATTCTCCAATCATGGACAGATAATGAGAGACCTATTCCTCATGACTATTCAAACTTTCAGGAACACTACTCGTATGGCAGAAATTCTCTGGAAGACAATTCTTGGGTACTCCCAAGCCCTCCTAAATCAAGTGAAACAGCATTTGGGGAAACTAAAAATAAAACTTTGCCTTTACCCATCCTGCCACCCCCGCATAACTTGGATCAACGTAATCAAAACTGCCTTTATAAGAATTAATTCTGAAGAGATATGTGACTTGGTCATGAGGTTGCTGTACCTCCCGCAAGTATTCTTGAGAAATTATTTAATAAACTGAAAGCAGGTTTCGATTAAACTTTTGCAGAGTTCTTCAATGTACACATTTGCACATACTGTAACGTATTATGTAGTTGATTTTCCAGTATGAGAGCAACCCTCCAGCTTCACATTCTGGCTAAGAATCAGATATGTACTACTAATAAATTAATAAACTTGAGGTGTTTCAAAAAGACAGTTCTGTCTTTGATAATGTTTGTACATTTCTGCCTCACATAAAGAATGGAATTGAAAGTTTTTAGATATGGTTTTACAAAGCATGTGAAATGTCTAAATAGCTGTTCATTAAAAATAGAGGAGGCCATTAATATAAGAGAAAATTTATATAAATTGCTTTAAGTTACATAAGCAAATGACAATGTGAATAGTTACATTTCCTGTTGAGAAATATATGAAAAATATAAATAGTGGGATAACAGTATTTAGGTTTTTCCATCTCTATATGCTATTGTGTTTCAAAATTTAAAATCATTTTAATCACAATGTTTTTGATAAAGCTTAGAATTGCAATTTGAATTTTAAGACTTGAAATAACCTGACCACAGAAGCCAACTTTATCCCAGTACATCTCCAGTCCTAATTGAAAAGTGATGAAATAGTTGAAAGTCTATGTAGTGTGTGAATAACTATTATAATCCAATTAGAAGTAGAGCATCACAAAGGTTTCAGTCTAATCTGTCCCTTCAGGGTCCATAATGAAAATATAAATGTGTAATTTATAAAGTAATTTTCTTCAAAGCGTCTACAGTACACTCACTTATTATACAGAGCAGCTTATAAATTGTTAGATTTTGGTTTGAAATGTAATGTGTTACTTATTGAGTGATTTTTAATTAACTGATTTAAGAATTTTAATTCTAGAAACCAAATTCTGTGCCATATTGATATCGTATAATTGCAAAATGTCCTCAAACTTTTTTATTCTAAGTGGCCTATCATTTATAAACAAGAAAATAACAAGGATGGCTTCACATGGAAACTTATATCAATTTTTCAGGGTTGCAGTATTAAGAATACTAGTCATAAAATGTATTACTTGATTTCATTCATCCTTTGCCTGAGATAAAGTGTTTCATGTGGGAAACCTTTAGCCTTTTTAATAGACAGTTTCAAACATCCATTTTAAACTCAAAAGAATATCTCAGATCTCATCTATATTATCTGAATAGCATACATACATAAACAATGTTCACTGTTCACCATATATTTTCTTTTGTCTTTCTATTATCTTACTCACTTATTCAGGCTTGTCTGTGATTAATGGAATTGGTGTCAGATTCTGGAATTTATTCTGACCAATGAACACAGCTGACTCAAGGGAGTAGAATCTCCTGCCAATAACAGAACAAAACACAATATGCATAAAACTAATACAAGACTCCAGGCGTTAGCTGAAGGAAGCAACTACCTGTGTAATATGAAAGCAGCAGAAACTATTTCTCATGTTGTTGCATAGGCTGTAGCAGCTGTATATTACATCTAATCTCTAATGTAGCTGACTGGTTTGCCTTTAAAACCAAGATTGGAAATTTTACTATGTAAAGAAAATAAGTCGTATGAGATAAAGGCTTGGATAATGTTATGAACACTGCAAAGAAATTAAAATTATTTTCATGTGAAGTGGAGGTGAAATTTGTTGATTATATATTCCAAGGTCTGGAACTAAATGTTTGTTGTTCATTTTAATTCATATAACAGACATTTATCTTGTTAAACTAACTTCTTTTGAGTGGAGAAAATGCTTTTCCATCTAAACAAAAAGGTAGCTATCAAAACAGAAAGTCAGTGGTTAATGTTCTTGGCAGTTTAAAGTGCTAAATAAATGTTGTGTAAGATTACTTAGAAAGATTAACCAAAAATTATTTGTACCCAGCCTTAAGTATTTTTAATGTATACTTAATTTTTAAATGTATACTTTATCATCTCTGTTCTAGGTAAGATGCAAAAAGAAATGAAAGAATGGCCCATCTGTAGCTTATAAACTTGCTCCAAAGAGCTTCCCTTGAAAATTTCTTTATCTTCAGATTTTTATAACAATATCCCAATTCTGCATATCCATACCAATGAAGAGAACACAGCTAACAACAAATAGCCACTCATCCCTTCCTCTTGATCCCCTATTAGCTAAAACAAAATTTACATCTCTAAAAGGAAACTGAGGTTCTGTCAAAATGGAACCTAATTCATAAGCAGAGCAGGGACACCTATGTGAAACATTAGAAAACCAAAATAGGGGGAAATTCAAACTTTAGAACTAAGGGACTGAATCATGTGAAAACAAAGTAATGATCATATCCAGATAGCCTACCTGGGGAAGGTAGATCTTGGCAAAAAATCTGTGGATTGTCACAACAAAATAATACCAGCAGAGGCACGAATGAGCAAGCAAGACAAGAACTGAGGCAGGTATATAATTGTAGATGTAGACTTGAGAGTGCATAAGCATGGATAGTCTAAAAGCTATGAACAATAGTTTAGTTTTTGACATAATAAAGAAGGATGAACTTAAATATCTAGTACCTAGGGGGAAAGTAGCATCTATAAGTGAATTTTCCATATAAAATTGAAGTTGGCCACTCTGATTCAAATCAAATTATAAAATAGCCACATATTATATATTTCACTAACTTTTTAAAGTAAATGTTTTGCCTTTAATTAAAAACAAAAATTAGTCCTGTGCTTTAGGAAACGCACCAATAAAAAATGCCAACCCTATGCTATGTGACCTCTAGGCTTCTATATTTGTTTTGCTTTTTTCTGCTCTAGTAATCTCCCTCCTTTTGATCTGTGGCCTGGGAAAATGTGTTTTCTTTGGGTTTTAAATAAGAGTAAAATAGTTCTTTGAGTGATTCACTCGAGAAAAGTGTGGAACATTAACTATTGGTTCTTTAGGGTCCTCTTTAAGTTCTTTAAAAATGTCAGATCTATTTCAGTGGTGTTGGGGACAAATTTAAATCTTGTCCTTGTAGTCATTTCTATTTGGGATTTTAATGAGAACTGTAAACATATATAAAATGTACTTACCTGGAAACTGGTTGCAATAGCTGTAGTAAAGTTAATAGTTCATGGGGGTGGGGGAGCAACTTTTAATATAAAAGCTCAACCTGGGACCATATTATTACATTGAGACAGAAAAATTTTACGTTCATTCCAGAAACCATTATTATGTTATAAAATGGTCATTTAGGTTTATAAAGAAGACCTTTCTTTAAAAAGATTAAAGTATTTTCAGTAGCCAAATTAACAGGCCAAGGAATATAGTGATACATTTAGAAAAATTTTCATCAAAGATGTTTAAAATTAATTTTTACATACTTATCTACCATCTATATTTCCAAATAAGCCTTTAGTAATAATAACAATAACTAGCCATTAAAGAGCATTTACCATGTCCAAGGCTCTAGTCTATGTACTTACACTACTCAGTCCTCACAATAACTGTATGAGACTTATTACCAGTTGTATAGCTAATAAGTGGAGAACAAGGAAGGATTCTGTTTCATAGTCACTCTGCTGTACTTCCTAGTTACTAACACCTTTGATGGTTGTCCATTCCTGTTTTCCTTTAGTTACTTCAGGTCCCATGATTAGCCTTCACTCTACATTGATAGAGAGTAAGATAAGATCTATATAGAATCCTAAAAATTAGTATAACTAGAGTTGTGGAAAATTTTTGAAAAATCCATAATGACCAGGCAAACTATGTCCCATTTCACTATTTATTTCTATCTCATTTAATAAACTTAACTTTAAAATTTTTTTAAAAAAACTTTATTTCAGATAAAATTAGTATTTCCATAATTTAGGATAAGCAGACACACTTCCTTGAGACCATTAAATTAGGTAATTGTGATTTCCATGAATAAAGTTAGTATCATGTGAGTATTTGCCTACATGCTTGTTGGAAGCTTCTGTAGCCTTTTCTTGGTAGGAATTCCAGTTTTTCTGAATTCTTCCCTTTCCTTCAGGTATTCCATTTTACATTCTTCATAAAAAGCAGGATCAGTATAGCTATAAGAAAGAAATGAATATCTTTTAAAGTGAATCACTCTGCAAGTATTTAATATAGGCTTACTTTAATAACATTCAGATATCCAGTTCATCAGGCACAAATATTAGTAGTAGATTTTAACAGCTGAAACTAAACTAATATTGAATGTCAATTGCAATTGAAATTAAAAAAATTTTTTTCAAAAGAAGATTTTTAGTAATGGTCATAAATTCACTGTAAACATTACTCCACCAAACTAATTAAAGACCAGAAAAATAAAAAGACCTAATGGTAACGGCACTATCCCAGGATATAATGAGAAGCACACTCACTGCCTATCCTTAAGGAGCCCATGGTATTACAGAGCAGACAGGTAAAGAGTGAATTATAATTAAGTATACAAAGTGCTGTGGTAGAGGTATGGCCCAGTGCACCATGGAAAGATGGGGAAGAAGTGAGGAAGGGGGAGATGTCAAGGGGAAATGCTTGAGCTGCAGTTTGAAGGACCATCAGAAATCCTATAGAAGGTACGTATGCAAAGGCAAAGAGATGAGGAAAAACTATGATGCATAAAGAACTGTAGGTAACTTGGAACCACTATGGCAGATTATGCACATAGGAGTAAGGGCCTGAGATGTAGCTAGAAAAGGCAAGAACAAAATCCTGATGGTCCATTTATGCCATAGTAAGAAGTTAAAATCTATCCTGAAGATGATGGGGCACTATTAGGAGAGCAACTGTAAGGTCAGCTTTGTGTCTTAGATGAATCTGACTGCATGCAGCAAAGTCAGAAGCAGGATATCCAATAAATAAACTATTATAATGACCCAGACAAGAAATGATGAGGGCCTAGGCCAAAGGAGGAGCAGCTGTGATGAAAAGGATGCAATGGATCTGGGGAGATTTGGGAAATGAATGAATCAATAGGAAATAACCAATTAGAGTTAGGAGACAAGAAAGATACTAGACAACTGTATAATTCACAAAGACACATAATGCAGAGTAAAAGTAGCTGAGTTCAGTTTTGTGCCTGAAGAAAGAAGCATAGAAATGTCGGGAGGAGAACCAAGATGGCGGCATAGGTTAACGCCGGAGTTTGCTGCTTTGAACAACTACTTCAAAAGTGAAACCAAAAAACGGAAGGGACATCACCCAGAACTACAGGAACGCTGGCTGAGTGGAAGTCCTACAACTAGGAGGAAAGAGAAACGCATACGGACACTCAGAGGAGGCACAGTGCTGAAGTCAAATTCTGAGGTGCGGAGTGCGCGGAGCGGGCTGGCGGCAGAGGGCACGGTTGGCGTTTTCAATCGGGAGGGAGTCGCAGACTCTGAGCTCCAGATCCGGGCGAGTCTCTAGGGACCCAGACTCAAACGGGAGAAGCGGGATTGTCTGGCTTCGGTCAGAGCGAGTGCAGCTTTCTCTCTGAGCTTTGCAGCGGGTGCTGGGACTCAGAGAGGCAGAGCCCCTGGGGACAGGACTGAGTGCCACCATAACTGCTCTCTCCGACCCACCCTGTTGATCCTGTTCGACCCGCCCCGCCCAAGCCCTGCACAGAGGCATTTGCCGGATAGCCTCAGGCAAAGGCTAGATTAGCACCTCCCTAGAGGACAGAAGTTCTCTCACTGCTGACACAGCTGATTCTCATAGCCACTTGGCCTGGAGGTCAAACCCTCCCTGGAATTAGCTACAACAATCAAGATTTAACTATAAGACTGCGAACAAAGACCACTAGGGGGTGCACCAAGGAAGCATAACAAAATGCGGAGACAAAGAAACAGGACAAAATTGTCAATGGAAGATATAGAGTTCAGAACCACACTTTTAAGGTCTCTCAAGAACTGTTTAGAAGCCGCCGATAAACTTAATGAGATCTACAAGAAAACTAATGAGACCCTCGATCTTATATTGGGGAACCAACCAGAAATTAAGCATACACGGACTGAAATAACGAATATTATACAGACTCCCGACAGCAGACCAGAGGAGCGCAAGAATCAAGTCAATGATTTGAAATGCGAGGAAGCAAAAAACACCCAACCGGAAAAGCAAAATGAAAAAAGAATCCAAAAATGCGAGGATAGTGTAAGGAGCCTCTGGGACAGCTTCAAGCGTACCAACATCAGAATTATAGGGGTGCCAGAAGATGAGAGAGAGCAAGATATTGAAAACCTATTTGAAGAAATAATGACAGAAAACTTCCCCCACCTGGTGAAAGAAATGGACTTACAGGTCCAAGAAGCACGGAGAACCCCAAACAAAAGGAATCCAAAGAGGACCACACCAAGACACATCATCATTAAAATGCCAAGAGCAAAAGATAAAGAGAGAATCTTAAAAACAGCAAGAGAAAGAAACTCAGTTACCTACAAGGGAATACCCATACGACTGTCAGCTGATTTCTCAACAGAAACTTTGCAGGCCAGAAGGGAGTGGCAAGAAATATTCAAAGTGATGAATACCAACAACCTACAACCAAGATTACTTTATCCAGCAAAGCTATCATTCAGAATTGAAGGTCAGATAAAGAGCTTCACAGATAAGGAAAAGCTAAAGGAGTTCATCACCACCAAACCAGGATTATATGAAATGCTGAAAGGTATCCTTTAAGAAGAGGAAGAGGAAGAAAAAGGTAAAGATACAAATTATGAACAACAAATATGCATCTATCAACAAGTGAATCTAAGAATCAAGTGAATAAATAATCTGATGAACAGAATGAACTGTTGATTATAATAGAATCAGGGACATAGAAAGGGAATGGACTGACTATTCCTGGGGGGGAAAGGGGTGTGGGAGATTCGGGAAGAGACTGGACAAAAATCGTGCACCTATGGATGAGGACAGTGGGTGGGGAGTGAGGGCGGAGGGTGGGGCGGGAACTGGGAGGAGGGGAGTTATGGGGGGGGAAAAAAAAGAGGAACAAATGTAATAATCTGAACAATAAAGATTTAATTTAAAAAAAAAAAAGAAAAAGAAAAAAAACAAAAATAAATAAATAAAATAAAACTGACTTTTGGAAAAAAAAAAAGAAGAGGAAGAGGAAGAAAAAGGTAAAGATACAAATTATGAACAACAAATATGCATCTATCAACAAGTGAATCTAAGAATCAAGTGAATAAATAATCTGATGAACAGAATGAACTGTTGATTACAATAGAATCAGGGACATAGAAAGGGAATGGACTGACTATTCCTGGGGGGGAAAGGGGTGTGGGAGATGCGGGAAGAGACTGGACAAAAATCGTGCACCTATGGATGAGGACAGTGGGTGGGGAGTGAGGGCGGAGGGTGGGGCGGGAACTGGGAGGAGGGGAGTTATGGGGGGGGGAAAAAAAGAGGAACAAATGTAATAATCTGAACAATAAAGATTTAATTTAAAAAAAAAAAAGAAAAAGAAAAAAAACAAAAATAAATAAATAAAATAAAACTGACTTTTGGAAAAAAAAAAGAAGAGGAAGAGGAAGAAAAAGGTAAAGATACAAATTATGAACAACAAATATGCATCTATCAACAAGTGAATCTAAGAATCAAGTGAATAAATAATCTGATGAACAGAATGAACTGTTGATTACAATAGAATCAGGGACATAGAAAGGGAATGGACTGACTATTCCTGGGGGGGAAAGGGGTGTGGGAGATGCGGGAAGAGACTGGACAAAAATCATGCACCTATGGATGAAGACAGTGGGTGGGGAGTGAGGGCGGAGGGTGGGGCGGGAACTGGGAGGAGGGGAGTTATGGGGGGAAAAAAAAGAGGAACAAATGTAATAATCTGAACACTAAAGATTTAATTTAAAAAAATGCATAATCATAGTGGGAAAGAAAAAAAATATATATATAAAAAAAAAAAAAAGAAATGTCGGTCAACAGGAAGTAACTGAATCTATGAGTGAAAACTGAGCTTTCTCAGATTTAAGAATGAGGAGAGAAATAGGGAAGCAAATTTAAGGAACAGGTTAAGGGGGGGAAAGGCAAAGAATTAGCTAGAGACGTTAGGAAACGGGAAGCCAGATAGAAGGGAATTTTATGAGATTACCAGCGAGGTGAAGTAAAAGAAAGGACTGAAAAGAGATTCAATTTGGCTACCATGAACCCACTAGAACAGTGGTTCTCAACCTTGGCTGCACATTAGAATCACCTGGGAATCTTTTTAAAATCCTGATGTCTGTGTCTCATCCTCTGGAAATTCTGTTTCTTTGTTACTAATGTTGTGGCCTCAACCCATAACAAAGAAACAGAATTTCCGGAGGATGAGGCCCAGAAATCAGGATTTTAAAAAGATTTCCAGGTGATTCTAATGTGCAGCCAAGGTTGAAAACCACTGTACTAGAACCTTTAGGAAGAGCAGCTTCAATGGAGTGAGGACAGAAGTCAGACTGCAGTTTATTGAATTCATGAAGATGAGATAGGCAGAAACCAGAGCACAAACAATGCTTCAAGATGTCACTATGAAAAGATGAGAGAGCATAGTGGTTACATCCATTTTATAGAATGTCAATAGTAACTAAAGCAGAGCACTGTCTTACTCAAAGATGAAAAATACTATTTCTTAACTATAAACCCATCTATAATATATTCTGTAGATCAACCTCTTCATGAAATTGATTAAATCACATGAAAAATATGCTTTTCACAATGGAATACTGCGCTGCTATAAAAAAGAAGGAACTTTTACCATTTGCCACAGCATGGATGGAACTGGAGAGCATTATGCTTATCGAAATAAGCCATTGGGAGAAAGATATATATCACATGATCTCACTCATATGTGGGATATAATGATCAACATAAACTGATGAACAAAAATGGATCCAGAGACAAGGTGGCACTGAGCAGACCTTCCAACCTCGGGGAGAAGGCAGGGGAGGGGGGCGGTTAGAGATCAACCAAAGGACTTGTATACATGCATAGTAGCATGACCAATGGACACAGACATTGGGGGCGGTGGGGGCTTGCCTCGGGGGTGCAAGTGGTGGTGGGGGTTAATCGGGGGAAAAAGGAGATATGTAATACTTTAAACAATAATTAAAAACAAAACAAAAAGAAAAACATGCTTTTGTTTACTGACCTCATATATTTAATCAGATACAATGCTGACCCACATAACTTAAAGAAACACTTTATAAATATGTTGCTTTTTTTAAGAATAATGTTTAACAAATTGATATTTTAGACTCAGCTTAAAAATATGATGGATTGAAGGGGTACAGAATATATTACATTGAATGAGTTAAATAATAAACTCTTACCTACTACATATACTCCATACACATACACAAAGACACACAAACACTGAGATAACTACTTACTAAGAGGTTAGACATTCTTTTAATGCAGAATTTTCTTTCCGGCATTTTACTACCATAAGCATTCCAGACTCCTTGCAACATTTGGTAAAATCTGAAATAAAACATTTGGAAAGAAAAAAAAAATTTGTAATTATATCCACACAATTTCTGACAGATATAATTTAACATCTATTACCTAGACTGGTGGTTGGCAAACTGCGGCTCGTGAGCCACATGCGGCTCTTTGGCCCCTTGAGTGTGGCTCTTCCACAAAATACCAACTTCTGCGCATGGGCCACAAAGTTTCAATCGCACTGTACATGCACGTCCACATGTGGCATTTTGTGGAAGAGCCACACTCTAATTGCCAAAGAGCCGCATGTGGCTCGCGAGCTGCGGTTTGCTGACCACTGACCTAGACTGTGCTTGGCACACAGCACATGCTCTACCAAAGACAGGTACAAGAATGAAAGGCAGAATGAGATGAGTGTCATTTACTTTGTGGAAACAAAGAGATTTGAAAAGAGGAAGAGAGGATGACCTCTAAGATAGAGTGAGGAGACAGATGGGATGCAGAGAAATATGATTTCTAAGCGGGAAAAGGATATTCTAGAAGAAATGAGTAAGAAGAACAAAAGGAAAGCTGTTTCCGCCCAGCCATCGTGGCTCAGTGGTTGAGCTTCAACCTATGAATGTTGATGGTTCAATTCCCAGGGTCAGGGCTAGATCTTCAGTGTGGGGGATGCAGGAGGCAGCTGATCAACGATTCTCGCTCATTACTGAAGTTTCTATATCTCTCTCTCCCTTTCCCTTCCTTCCTGAAATCAATAAAAATATACTTAAAAGTAAATAAAAAAGGAGCTGTTTCTAGACATGGGCATCTGGTGTCCAGTCTCTGCATGTCTTCTCTTGATGCATAAAAGCACCCCTTTCTTGTTTTTTTAATCCTCACCCGAGGATATAGTTTATTGATTTTTAGAGAGAGAGGAAGGGGAAAAGAGGGAGAGAAACCTTAAATTATATCATCCTCACAAAGAATTAACTAGATAAAAAATTAACTTTTTCTGACTATCTTTTTTAACTCGTAATAAAAAGTTATCAAGATTTCCTTTTCTTGAGCTGTGTGTTACTCATTTAGTTACTAAGGAATATAATTTATAATTATTTTAAAGCAAGCAGGTAATTTCAGGAGACTCCATGAAAACACATAATATGTCACAAAAATATTTTTTAAATCACAAACTGGAAATGATGGAGGTTTGTTAAGTGCATAAAAACTCATGAGAGGGACTTTGCTGGGACGAGAGCCTTACAACGGAGATATCAGTATGTACCTGTAGTATCACAGAATACTTTGAAGGATACATGGTAGAATAGGAACAAAGGCAATAGATGCAGGTAATGACTTTAATGCAAAAATTTAGTGGTTCTAATCACATTAAATTATGGGTGACATGTAATACTCCACTTCAAATATAGAATTAGCTTCCTTTAGTTCCTTGTTCACTAGACTCAGTAGTCCCAACAATTGCTCTCTGATTCCTGAACCTACTCAGATACCTTTTTGATTCCAATTACGAAATGTTCTCCATCCTCTCTGTGCAAATGAGCTAGATTCCAGGCCAAATCAGACCATGGGATCATTTTTTGTGCGCTGTGACTAAGGACTTCCTACAACTCAAAAATGCAAAGCAGACTTATAATCAGCTCATTATCAGTAGAGACCATGGCAATCAAAAACTTTCACTCTGGAATGTCATTAGCATGCCTACACAAGTTAATTTTTCTACTTATGGCATAATAAAATCTACCTTTCTAGGAGCAAGAATTATCCCAAATAAAAATTAAGACATGAGCAATACTCAAAGGGAATATGTACATCAAGTTAACCCAGAAGGACTAAATCTGCCTAAAGGCTTCTTGAAGGGAACTTCCATGATGACAGTGGTAATGAACCATGGGCTGATCTCCCTGCACCACCTCTCCTTCCTGGAACCTCAGAGACCTACTCCAGACCAGTTCACTTAGTTAATGTCTGTAAGAAAGACTTTGCCTAATGAAATTTTATAGTTGACCAATCCTAGTCCTTTTCTGGAAAACACAAACACAATGGCTATTATCAAAAGTCCACATTCTGAATTTAACAAACACAATATTTTTACACTGAGAAATTCACAACAGAATGCTTAGGCATTCATTATTTTAAGACTTCTTTCCCTAATATAAATAGAAATGCCCTTAGTAGGGAATTAACGAGAGATAGCATTTATGTGTTCTGATCACAATAAAGGCACATTCAATGTATTTTCACACTTGTCCAAATCTCTTCAGGAATAACTGTGACTGGCCTAAAGCCTCAAGCTGTTTGTAGGGTTTTGTCACTTGTTTAGCAACAAGATTTTAATGAGGGTCTTTCTTTCATACCACATCAGCATACATTCATATAATAATGATGTTGCTAATACTGCCAAATGATTTCTAAAATGGTATTCTGAAACAAATCTAATTGAAATTGCTTTTTTCAATATTATGTTAAATGTTAAAGAGCTCTAACACCTCTATATAATTTAATTACCATTAAACACTATACCTGTAAAAATAAAATTTCATTCACTTAAGTAAACCTTAAGGTAATGCAAATGAATATCAATAAATAGTGAGGGTAGAGAGTTTATTAAAAGTTATTCTAAATTTTAAAGAAAAGTAGTTAAATATAGAATTCAAGACTTTCTTCCTTAAAAAAAATCAAGAGCGTGAGAGACTATCTTTCTTTTGTAAACCCTCATTTCTCTGAAAACAAAACAAAACAAAACACAATACCATGTAAGAAACTATTAGTAAAAATATGTTTTAGGTATAATAAAATTTAGGTCAAGTATATCTATGAAAAACAGAAAGTCTTCTCCTAACTTTAGTCTAAGGCAGTGATGGCGAACCTTTTGAGCTCGGCATGTCAGCATTTTGAAAAACCCTAAATTAACTCTAGTGCTGTGTCACATATAGAAATTTTTTGATATCTGCAACCATAGTAAAACAAAGACTTATATTTTTGATATTTATTTTATATATTTAAATGCCATTTAACAAAGAAAAATCAACCAAAAAAATAAGTTCGTGTGTCACCTCTGACACACGTGTCATAGGTTTGCCATCACTGGGCTAAGGTAATGGGCAATATAATCACATTGTAATTATGTACAAGTAGCCTATATAATTTCCAGTTTCTATAGGAAAAAACCTTTGGAGGGTAACCTCTGTATAAAAGCAATAGAGAAAAAAATCATTTAGAATTTTTTTTTAATATAATTTATTGATTTTTCACAGAGAGGAAGGGAGAGAGATAGAGAGTCAGAAACATCGATGAGAGAGAAACATCGATCAGCTGCCTCCTGCACATCTCCCACTGGGGATGTGCCCGCAACCCTGGTACACGCCCTTGACCGGAATCGAACCGGGGACCCTTCAGTCCGCAGGCCGACGCTCCATCCACTGAGCCAAACCGGTTTCGGCTAGAATTGTTTTTAACTCATTTACTTTATGGAACTTTTATTTGTATTTTAGTATTTCAATAAACCCCAAACATTATTTGCAAAATAATTTAGTCATCCAGTTACAGCTAAAGCATTCAATGAGATGGCACTTTGAAAACATACTAAATTAAAAGAAATAATCCCTAATGTCTCGTCTTTGACTAGAAACCACTCCATTTATATCCCACTAACCTACAATTTTTTAGAAATCTTAAGCTTATAAATTTTTATAGAACCCCTTTAGACACAGCATTACTTGTAACTTTCTATTTCATTAGTACTTTTATTTCATTAATGAGTAAAATATTTATAAAGTACCTATTTTTCCAGCTATATTATAAAAAGCAAGTATAATTTAGAATTTTAACATATAAGTTATGTGTAATATTTCTGTAACTACACCATCATCTTAATGGTCTCACCTTAAAATCTAGAACTTCAATTTTATCTAAATGAAAAAGATTTATGGAGGTCTTGCTTATTAATTACATGTAGTAGGACAGATTTTAAAATCACCTTAAGTTCATAATGTATCAATAACTTTACAACTGGAAATCTTAACCATAAAACCATTTGCTTTTACAAAACTGGATAAGAACAAAAACAGATATACTTTAAACACTGTATAAAAGATCTTTTGATCAGTTATTAAATCAGAAGAGATTTTAAAATGTAGAACTGAAAATGATGCAATTTGGGGAGGGATTAGGTAGGTGGCGACTTTTGGTAAGATTTTCCTTCATACAAAGGTGTCTGGAGTGTTAAATCTGTAATATAAATTTAAGTCTAAAACTAATTTTTCATAGGAAAAGCTATCTTTTAAGTAAAGACTTCTGTTGTGAGCAGTCTAATGCCAGGTCCCCGTAGACCATGCCTAAGTGCTGTGCTGCTCTCAGTAATCATCCTCCCTTCTGGAAGCTGTGAAGTAAAAAGTGCCTGAAGACAACAGGAGGTCACCCTCAGTTCTGAGCGCACCAGCTCCAAGTGCAGTAATGAAGGCCTGAGCCAAGGCAGAGAAACCATGAAGACAGTAGTTTGTCTTCCTCCTAATGACTGCTCAACTGACGCAAACCAAAGCCACAAGGCCACCAAGCATATTACTCTGTATAACTGACAGCATGAACAATGTCATGAAATTCTTGTGAAAGATTTTGTAAACAGTTCTGACTCTATTGAACATCTGTTTGTTTATTCTTTCTATCATCTATCTATCTACCTATCTATCTATCTATCTATCTATCTGGCTAAATACTAAGTGTCCACCCGGGTAATGACGTCACGCAGCAACACTCAGCTTCCTCTCTCTAGTGACTAGCCTCCTTGCAGTTTCTTCAGCCCAGGAACACAGCCAGGTGGAAACATTTCACACTTTAACCAAATGTCTGAAGCGTTTTCCCATGCCTCATCTCATTTGATCCTCACAGAAGTCCTGGAGTAGGTAGATAGGAGACTTGGTGGAATCCTATTTTCTTTTCATTAGCCAGAAAACGGAGATTTAGAAAGCTTAGAAACTTGACCCGACTGAAAAGAAGAAATGGTGGACCTTGAAAATGACTTCAGGTTTTCTCACTACCCAGAATAT